CAAAGAAATTGGATCTAGCTTAAAAACTGAGCTCTTGGGAGCGATTGCCGTGGTTCAATGTTTTGCGTCGAAATCAGCCGAACATGACGTCACTCTGACGTCATTTCCGGCCGACCTATGGTAGGTACGAAGTTCAAATTTTGACATAAGGTGTCAAATTGATGCAGCCGAAGGTACCGAAAGTTTGGCGTCGATACGTCAAGCGGTTTGGAAGTTATTGCAGAAAAACGGGAGGGGGGCTATAAATAGCCCCCCAGTGGGGCGTGGGTTAAGGTAGATAGGAACTTTCCTCAAATTAATCGACAATTTTATTGTACAGAAAATGGTGGACGTTTGTATACCATATACCTACTTATCTTAATTATGAAATAGACGCAAAAACAAATAATAAAATAAACCACGAACAAACGTTTTGCTAAGCACTCCTCACGGTAATTTTCTGCGACACAATCACGCCAACTGTGTCATCAAATCCCTTTATAACATCACCCACAAAGAAATAAACAAAGTGACATACAAAACGCAAAGCCGGCAATATGTGACACCCATTAGGGACACGGCATACAGGCGACACAAACGGACCCAGCTTTGATTTATATACCGGCAATTCAAGGTTGAACAATATTACCGAGTACAGCAGTGCCTGCTCGGTGACCTGCGTGATAGCGGTCATTAAATCGCCGCTGGCCACTGCCTGCAGTCGTCACCGCAAATTATGACATAGCGTCACCTTCACTCGTCGCCCGTATCGGGCCTCGCAAAAACTGTTGCTTCCTCGTTTAAGGGCAATATGGACGACAGTTTGTAGCGTGCTCTACCCAGTGACTTGGTCAGCGCAAATTTCAGAGTCAATAACTGCGACAGCCGAGGCTGAACAATGAAGACCTACATAAAAGAGGTTTCAAACATTGCTTTGATAGAATAACGAATACCTGGACGGGCCCTTAGCAACTGCGATGGAAGTAAGTACTTTTGCCTCCGGGTACTTACGTCAGAAAAAAACAGTCGCCATCCGTTCCAATGCCATTGATCGCTGCGACGGGCTGCGCCGTTCCTTTTCAGGACCGCAGGTGCTCCTCGGCCGTCTTGGCCGCCAGCCGTCAGATGACAGCGTTTCGTGTGCTTCGCCGGCCTAATTGGATGGTAAATTGACGTCGCCCAATTACCACGGCGGCCGGCGACAGACTCTATCCGGTCACTGAGGCTGTATATACTTTTTGTGGGTGTTAGAGAATTGGAGAAACAGCATTATGCGCTGTTCCGTATCACGTAATACATATAAATAATGAAAGCTGACAGAGGACACTTAGCAACTGTGACATGATTAACGCTCTTGTGTAACAAACCTTAAATCATATTACGCCTCCCTCCCTCTCCTGCTCTCCCTGTCTTCCTCCCTCCCTCTATCCCTCTTTCTCTCTCTCTCTCTCTCTCTCTTCCTCCCCTCTCTCTCTCTTCCTCCCTCTCTCCCTCTCCCTCTCTCTCCCTCTCCCCCTCGATCGTCGGTGTGACGTAGAGAGAGACCTACGCCACTGGTAACCAGCTGTGCAGGACAGTGGCGGCGGTAAAAACGCGCTCGGCAGCTGCGCTGATGACAATGGGAGTGCGCCAGAGCGGAGGACAGTGAGCAAAGTTCAGTGAACAGGCCTCCGCCAAAACTTAGCTAACGGGCCTCATGTTTACTTTCTACTAATATTGTAATCTAAAATGTCTCATATACCAGTAAGAGTTATGAGTACGAATTATTATATGTAAATACAGCACAATTAGGTACACAGTTTCTTTTTCTATATAAGCGAGAGAGAGAGAGAGAGAGAGAGAGAGAGAGAGAGAGAGAGAGAGAGAGAGAGAAAGAGAGAGAGAGAGAAAGAGAGAGAGAGAGAAAGAGAGAGAGAGAGAGAGAGAGAGAGAGAGAGAGAGAAGGAGATAGAGGCTGATGGAGACAGTCAAAAAATAAGATAAGTTAAAGTGACTGACAAAGAGAAAGAGCAAAAGGAGAGATAAAAGAAGAGAATGCAATTTACGCTTGCCTAAATGCAGATGCTTGCTCCAAAGATTCGCAGCTGTGTCCCGCAAGCATATAGGTGGTATTTCGTTGTGATGTGGTTTGTGATATTTATTGATAATGTGTGTATCGGGCTGTCCATGTCCGTCAGTTAACTGTCCATCACTATGTCTGTCTGTCTGTCATTTCGCCTCGTCTTTCAGCCAGAGGAAGCCCGGGACCGAGGGACTGTGACCCGTGTGCCAATTTTCGGGAGCGTCGTTAGTTTTGACGAATGGTGGCCCACATTGCGAAGATTTCCACATGAAATGGAACGACGCTTTTTAGGAACGGGTATCACAATTTCGGACTAAAAATATCGCGGGAGAAGAAAGCTGTGACAGTTCGGTTTTGGGATATGGATAGCATCTCTAAACTGATTCCTACCACTCTGATTGAGGAAAAAGCGCTCATTGTTGTCGAAGCCGACCACAAAAATCTAAGTTGAAAGGAGGAGTTGATTCAATAGCTAGAGCCAAATCAATCGAAGCGGAAGGATTTGAATAACTTTAGGCAATTCCCCGCCAGTCCAAACGTTTTGGTGGCACGTCCAGAGCGAGACATTTCTGCCTCTTTCTCCTTATAACCATACAAAATTATAGCTTGAATGTCTTGTCTGTAAGCTGCAAATTTGTGATTTGAATGCCGTTTCTGAATATGGAGCATCAAGAAGCCATTGACCACGGTGGAAGATTTCTGAGATCTCATAGTCACCATTGTAGAGCTATTTAATATGCAGCACATGACAGATATGCATGGTCTGGGCGACAGTGCCGCCAAAGTGGCCCTGACGTAATCTCGCCGCCCCTGATGGGCTAGTTTAGTTTCAGCGCCGCGTCGCTCTGTGCGGCGGCAGATTACCTCCGGAGTGGGACACGTCCCTGGCGGTTAGACTGTGCCGCCGGCCCCGGTGTCGTGCGGGACAGCCTACCGCCGCAGTGAGGAGCGACAGCGGCCTCCGCCGCCTCACTCAGCCGCATGAAGTCTCAAACCAATTAGCACGAAAGAATAGCTGAGTTTACCGAGTCACTAGCTGACTGCAAAATGAGATATATTGAATTCCGGCTTCATGTCACGCCTTTAATTGTATGATCCGTGTTTATCAAAAATATAGCCATAAAAAGAAACATAACGAGACGAGATTCTGGGTGAGTGAAGTGCTTCAAGTGGTAAGTCACAACGAAACGTTGTGTAAATCCGTTTTTTTTTTACTAAGTAAGACTGTGCGACTTCATCATTTATTTAATATCACTCGCACCAGAAAAGTTGGCAGAGACTAGGCTCCATGAATCAACAGCTAGTCGGGTCTACGAGAGATGAAGCGCCTTTACTTTATAAATATCGCCACAATCTACGACGTCTCTTAAGGCTCTACGGCTCTGATACCACCGGTCAAGCGGCATTTATCTTCATCCATCCATGCTTTAAACAACTATTTCTATATGGTAACCTCAACCAGCCTATCCGTACGCAGTGGCCACAGCTCAAAGCCCCAGGATTCGTGTGACGCGGCCTCTTCACAGCTCTCAATGACCCGACCCTGAGGATGACCCCGGTAGTGACGCCTGGGATGACACCTGAGATGACGTGACGCCTAGGATGACGGAGGTGACGCCTGGCTGGCAGCTCGACGGAGCGACAGAAAACACCACAGCTAAAACGTCGGCACATTTCTGTTTGACGTTTGGGAACGCCCCGGCATTCGCCCGTCTCCTGAGGCGTGGCGACAGTTTCATGTGACTTTTTGTGACCCTTCTGTGACCTATAATGACCTCCAATGGTCAGAACGTTATCTGAGAGCACTGACACTCTACCAGAGTCGGGCCCCAGAGCAGGCAGTAGGCACGAAATACGCACCACAGCCACCGTTCCAATCATATAAATGGGCTCAGCTGGATGAATTAATGCGTTTAGATTTAGTTAGGAAATGAATGGAATATAATGAATGCAATTGGGATAGAGTCTGGCAGCGATGAGAGAAAGTGAGAGGTGGAGGAGAGAGAGAGAGAGAGAGAGAGAGAGAGAGAGAGAGAGAGAGGGTATAATCATTAATCAACTAGACGACTGACGTCTAGTTGCACTGCTCGGTGAAGCAGTGCCTGCCCAAGTTCTGTAAGTGACCCCGGTATGAGCCGGCTTGCAACGCCGAGAAACGAACAAAGCTTCTGTGTAAGAGCTGGTCGGGGTTGTTTTCTTATGTTTTTTTTTTGCGAGGAATAAAATATAACGTTGGAGACGGCAAGGGCACAAGCGTAGGAGCGGGGTGCCGGTCAGGCCGTGAACTCACTACTTCTCGGCTAAAATCCTTACTAAAGGTCTCACCCTTTTCTTAAGAGCAGAATTAGATGTATTAAAACATTCAGTTCGCCAGACATGGGCATAAGACTGAGACGACTCGTCCTGGGTTGGTTGTGGCTCTCACAAAGTGAGATGTTGAATGTTTTGTTGACCCTCTCTCATAACACTTTGCCTGCAACTTCTACTATTATATGCAGATGTTGTTTCATTGCAGTACTTAATGCAGTTGCATGGGCTTCCTCTTCTCAATAATGAGTAAATCTTCTTGTCGAATTTCTAGTCAGTCGAATTTCTAGTCAGTCGAATTTCTAGTCAGTCAGCTCATCAATTCATGTAAATGGATGTTTTCACAAGGATTGATTGGGAAATCATGGATATAAATCTGCTGTGCAGTGGCTCCAAATATTTCTTTTAGTGAATACAACTTACTAGACATGGAGTAAAACGTCCTGTTATGCTGTCTTTGCTGAATTGGTATCCGTTTAGCTGATCTTGAATTTGTTAACCATAAATGAATATGGAGTTATGCACCACCCACATAGGAAAGTTATTATCTGACCTCGCGAAGACTGGTTTTATTTGTTCTGTATCCCTCCTTTGACAATGAGCGCGCCACGCTGACCTCGCCCAGGCCCGCCGGCCCGCGCCGTTGACCCACCTGTTCTGTCAGCGCCCGCTGCGGCCGGCCCTGGTTCTCCGCACGGATCGCCCTCCCGGCAGTCACAGCACGGTCCCGTCACACGGGTGGTGGTGTCACAGAGGTCGAACCGCTCCCGACCCTGCCTCGCTCGGCGGCACGGCTCACTCGCGCACCAGGCCGGGACAGGAACAGTCTGAGGCGGCGGCGACGGCCGCGGCGGCGGCGGCCGCGGCGGCCGGGCCAGCGCGCAAGCGCCCCATCGACCCTGCCCCTGGTTACCGTCATGCATATACAGCGACGGAGCAGGCCCGGCGGCCGCGGGCTGACCGTGCCTGTGTGGGCCCGGGCCACCGGGGTGGCATCGGCAGGTGTTCAATGGCAACATCAGACAGACGGGCAAACACGGAATGCATGCTTTAAAAGGCGCGATTTTAACATCATTTTGATCAATATGTTGTTGATGAAGACGAAGCGGTTTAGTTTTGCATCCTAAAAGGATGAGCGCGTTACTTTACCGGATATATTTTCCAAGTTGATCAAAATAAGTCGGTGCTGCCGTCCGGTGAAGAGGGTGTATCTGTACCCATTAGGGTATTTTGCTTGAGTCAGAACTGTACTCCCGGGAGCCGTTTAAGTTCTTTAGGGGAGGCGACTGAGACGGTAATGGCACTAATGAATTTCGAATGATCTGGACCTTGGCCCGCTGGCCCGACTGATGAGAGCCAGCGCAGACACCGAGGAAAATGGCGACCCTGTCTGGCACACCCGCGACCCGGCGTGGCACAACATCTGCATTTCAATTGTAACTATCTATGTCTGCAAACATGTAGCATAATCTCAGGCAGCTTTTGCCAAATTGTCAGGGAACTCAGATTTGTTTTTCAATAGAAAAACACAATTCTAAAGAATAGTGTTTTAACTATTGACAACAAACCTATGGTTAAATAATTCTTTTTTCCAAACAAAATAAACAAAAACAAAAATTCATCCGTTGGATGCAGGCCACTGCACAGAATCAATTAAACAGAAATGAGCAGAGCGTGTCTTACGTACCTATTATTGTGGACGTTTTATGGGCTGATATTGATTTTCAGTCTGCTTGTAAAGTAAAGCAACTACACGCCATGAAGCGTTTATATTCCTTCTCCAGTGAGAGCTGCTTTCCGTTGTACACAAAACTTCCAGCAATGAATTTCATCGGATACATAAACCGCCCATTCTCTTTATGGACCCGCTCATCGCGCTGGATTCGCCCGAGACGCCGCTCGGCAGAGTCCGGCTCTCCCCGCTCCGAGGAGCGGCATCAGTCGACTATCCGAGTGGCCGTCACGGCCGGAGCGGCGGCCGTTCGTCACAGAGCCGCAGCCAGCCTGTTTTACCGGCCCGTTACCAGCCTGTTTTACCGGCACTTGTCGGCAGCCATCTCCTCTCCGGGCGCCTCGGACCCACTCGCGGACTCGTAAATTCACCCCGGACTCCAACTCATGTCCCACTTTTATGGAAGCCCGCGCTTGTCGTAGCAGGGAGTAATTAATTGCGGGATGAAATGACGCTTCAAAGCTCTTTGGAGTGAGTTATTTGCTGCTATACCGCCCTATATGGAGTATTTCAGGGTTGGCTGCATTGGACTGCGGCTCTGGGAGTGTACTGAAGGTAATATTGATACACCGAGTGTGCGGCGGGTCTCGAAACCATGCTGTGCTGGTAGACAACGTCATAAGTTAGCGATCAGTTACATACCTGGTGGGCTCATTACGTACGATCATTTGTATTTAGCTGTACTTTCATACAATTTTTACGACGCCTAACGTCAGGAAGCACTTCGCTGAACTTCAGAGTCCCAGACAGCAATCGATTTCCACCTTACACTATCGATTACACAAGCTTTTTGGCTATCCCTAACTTTGTTTGACGTTCAGCAAACGTTTTCGTCCTGCCTTAGCTTCTTCATGAACACTAGTTACATTACAGTATTTGTACCGTGCGGTGTGCGCACATGATTGCGCATAAGTCGACGTTACTCGTCCTTCATTTTCTCCCCTCACTCTCATCAGAGACGCGGCAAATTATTACCCTTCACATTTTATTTTTTGAAAGGCAGCTCGTAATTGTTCAGACAGTACAATATTATCTCAGACCTTCATGGGCCTTTAGAGCATGCATGCTGCGACAGGAGCCCTCGTCCTTCCCCGATAACGCTCCGACGGAAGTCTTCAATTTCATTAAGCATCTGAGGCGGATAGTTAGTATTCATGGAATAGTTTATCTATGAAGATGCCAAATTATGGGGCCGTCATGGCGGAACTGGCCAGACTAAAGTTACGATCGTAATCTTTTGATATTACACTCGGCATTCTCAATGAAGATCTGCTCGTTTTTCTTTTCTGTAATTTCATCCGCCTCAGCACCGTCTCTTATTTCGGTCTTGCACTTATCCGGGCTAAACCATAGCAAGGGCACAAAGATGTAGGCACTAGGCATATAAAGTGTGTTGTATATTATTTTCTTCGTCTTTTGTTCTTTTTCAATTAATGTAGGTACTTACAATGAAGAAGCCACGAATAAAGCCAATACGAGGTCATTATTTGAAGCCTTTGTTTAGTTCTTGAAGCAGTGAAGGTCTTGCCCAGATATTTAACTCGTATGTAGTATACCTTGCAATAGAACTGTAAATGTCGTGATATGAGTAGGTTAGTTTTATAATTTGATATGCACGAACTGGTTATGCCGGTGAGCATGTCTGTGTCACGGATTTTGATTAAGATTTTCTCGTCAGATGCGATATTTTCTGCCGTTCAATAGAATTCAATTTCGGCCTAAGATGACCAGCTTACGTTCGCCTTTGAATTTAGTTTAGGGCGGCCATTTTTGTTTCAGTTCCAATAATGACCTCTCAGATGGCTTCGGCTGCCAGTAATGCCGGCCTCCGCCGACTCCCAGTGTGTCTCGTGATTGAACTCTCGACACAATGAACGCTGTGCCAGATTCCCCACCTCTGAGACTGCTCCCTAAGAGACGACCAACTTATTTCGGGATATTCTTTCAGTCTCGGCCCGTCATATTTACAATGTTTCGTCTATTCATTCACCTGCTCTCCTGGCGCTTCTCCGAGTGACCCTGTCGTTCATCCGTTTTATCCATTCTGTTTGTGTCATTCGCTATTTCAGTTAAGATTCGCCCCTTTCCATCACTTATCCCACCACTTCCCATCCCTTCCAACTTATCCCATCCTATCCTGTCAACCCGCCCGCTGGCTGCGCCGCCACCGCCGCCGCCGTTCAGTTGTCGACGGATATGACGCACCGTCCATATGATCCGCGCCGTGACGTCACACGACAGCTCAGCATTCGGATGACGTCATCGTATTATGTCGCCCGAGTAGCACCCTATTCCCCGGCCATTTGCCGTCCTCGATCGACACAATATAGTATAATGTTATTTATTTATTTTTCACATATTTGTTTCCTTGAATATTTGCAGATGCTGCTGAGGACGTTTCCCTGTGATGTGCTCCGTACCCACAAAACGTGGCACGCTTTGTCGGGTGCATGTTGACACGCTGCCGATAGATAGCGCTAGTATCAGACGCCTGAAGTTATGCTGTCCCGCCAGGCAGGACCAGTGCTCGCGCTCCATGGATACGAAGATTCACCTACGAACATTTTCATAAATCTGCAAAAGCTGAGCTACATGGTTGTTGATTGACAGCAGGTACCAGTTATTTCAGTCCATGGTAAAGGCGAATGTTTCCTAAAAACATTCGCTGACTCCTTGTGAACTGTGGTACAAGCAGCGTGGGTTGATCATAATTCAGCTGCATTGCTATCTGAAGGCTAGCAATGGATAGCATTGTTCTAGATTACTGTTCTATTTATAACATTAAACATCACAGCATGCGCTTATCTAGCCTCAAGTACAGCGGGTGTAGGCGTGTGCAGCCTGTACTATAATAGACTCTCGCCTATCAGCCGGATGTGATGTGACGGATATAGTTAGGTGCCTTCTCTGCCAATTTTAGACGTTTTTACGCGGTTGAGATGCTTCAGTGTTAATCAGCCAAATAATTGAGCTAATCTTCTGCACATTATTCGGTATACCATTTCTTTGGTTGAACAGGAGCTCATAAAGCCTCAGACATGCACGCTGCGCCCCACATTGGATGCCTGCACGTCTGATTGCGGTGACTCCACCTCACCATGTGATATGGACGAGTCCACACGTCTCTGGCCTGACCCCACCACGAGCTCCAGCCGCACCCTCGGCGCCCTCTCCGACCGACCTCCAAACGGGCGCCCGTTATTCGACCGTGCCGTCGGACCACTCCGCGATACCATCAGACGTCTGAATTTGATGAAGCTCTATCCAGATAGATGGATGCATAACTCAGCCAAGTTGCCTTTAGTACCGTAATTAGTGGAGTGTTGGCAGCCATTTCCGAAATAGTTTGCCTAATGTACGGTTATTCTATTGGCACAAGGGTCATTAGCACTATAGAGCCACAAAAAATAACTGAGCTTCGAAACTTAAACCTGGGTTTGAGAAATCAGCCATGAGGTTTAGGAAATCAACCAAGCCAATCGAGGCCCGGAGAAAGTGGGAAAGTTTCCGTTTTTTCCTAACTAAGAAAGTAAGATATTCTCTATAACTCTCCCGACGTAGGTAGGTTTCCTGTAGAGTGTTTATCGTCATGTGTGTATTTAGGCTATATGTATTTATCGACATTATCCCATACCGTCTTTTATGTCTTAATCGCCATGCAGCTGTCTGGGACGCTGGTACGTGCTGCCACGTAATGACACGTGCTGACACGTGGGCGAGACGTGTTTGACGCGGGCCGCCGGCACGTGTGTCGTCTGACGGGGGGGGGGATGGGGTGGCCGAGGGCACGCCTGTCGCCTGGGGGCTGTCTGACTGATGGTGACAGGGCGGCGCCGTGTCAGGCGGCGGCCCCGCCGGCACGCGCCGCGCCGCCCGCCCGGCGTATACACGGCACAGCGATTATCGCCATCGGTGGAACAACGCTACAGGAAGCTAGAACGACGAGTCATACCGTGGGAGCATTGCGAATGGCCTGTGCCCAGCTAAGTAAAGCTGAGATGGTTCTGTTGAAGTGATACTGATGGGTAGTACCTAAACTGCTGCAATACAATACCACCGCGAATACCAAATGGTCTTACTATCTACAGTAAAGTAAA